GGCTATCTGTGCTGGGCTTACCACGAGAATCTAAACCCGCTGAGTCAGCGGGGGGTAATTCATTGGGGCTTGTATGGATAACTGGTTGTTTGTTTGTTTCTTAAGCACAAAGCTATACAATGGGCTATCTGTGCTGGGCTTACCACGAGAATCTAAACCCGCTGAGTCAGCGGGGGGTAATTCATTGGGGTTTGTAGTTACTGTTATGGTTACAGTAGCAAGAAAAGGTTTCTAGTGGTTGATCATGTCCGTTTGGATGATTACCGTACATACATACTCGTGATTTAAACATTTCACAAAGAATGAGAGGGAACTGAGCAACATTTAGTGCATCACTGAAATACTGTAAATGTATAATATAAATATTAAACCGACAGGACGTATCAAAAATTTAACAAAAAACAAACAAACAAAACATATTTTTTTAAACCACAAAACAAAACAAGAGAGAGAAATATCGCGAGGTGCTGTGTATCACTAATTACACGTTATAGATAATCAGCTTTATGTGGTATCTAATGCAAGCGAATTTCTTAACACTGACTTTGTGTATTAATGATATTTGATACCCGTACGTTACAACGTGCAATAGAAGGTTACAAGACCGAATCAAATTAACATGGAAAAGCACTGAATTTGAAAACTTACGTTCAAACGAGCACAGTTGATCGGTTCAGCTCCTGCTACTCTACCACTTTTTCCAGTACTTAGGTGGGTGTGAGGCCGTAGAGAATCATGAGAAGCTTTGATGACATCCGGCTTGTCAAATGTAGATCCGTTACGAAATGTCTGTTGATCGTATAAAGGCAGGAAAAATGTTATACGATAATACTAGATGCCACTGTCTCACTTAGTATGCTAATGTCAGAAGGAGGTTCGTAGTAACAACTTTTGAATCTTTGATTCAAACTTGAGACTAGACTGTGATATGTAACCTTCACTGTTTTGTTAGCAGTTCCGTAAGAACGTGGTTGGTATTAGTCTACGAATTATATATACACATATAACTTATGAAGTATTTTTGGTGCATCGTGTTAAAAATCATCAAACACTTTTTGACACGTGTCAAAACAGTGAACGTGATAATGAAACGCATATTGTAAAATTTTACATCTCAAAGAGGAAAACACCTTTTCTGAAAATATAGGGGTTATTCCTACATTAGACAACTTTAAATTTTCCTGCAGTCAGTGTAATTAATTACAGTATATTGTTTTATCTTCCATTTAATATCTTGTCGAGATTTACTTACACTTAATAAATGAAACACACCGTGGGCACTTGAGCATGTAACAAATTAATTATAGTAATTTCCAAATAAAGTTTTTACGCTCCATCTTGTAAATATCATATACGTAATGGAAAATGTGGTATACTGTGTCTAACATTCTTGGATATGAGTAATGTCAAGCTAAATATAAGAGCCTTATATAAAGAAGATATGCAGTAAATACAAAAGTATAAACAACATATGATAAAATTCAAGAACCAAAATAAAAAAAAATGACAAGGGTTCTTACCTTTTTGCTTGGATGAGTCATTACAATATCGTCAACTGTTAGTAAAATCTTTTTTCTCATTTCTTTGAAAATAATCTTCTTTCTGTAAATTAATTAATTATTTTACCCGGCTACTAAAAACATAAAAACTACATTTTTAAATTAGCATAATTTCTTTTGTTTCACGAACCGATTGTTTTAGTCACTTATTGACTCAGAAATCTTCTGGTTTACTGCCATAATAAATTAACCTGAACTATTGATACAGACTTTCAATGATATATTTCAGATTGCTTGATTACATCCTATCTAAACAGTTTTAAGTCACCTATAAAATATCTAGAAGATACATTCACACACAACTTACCTTTGACCTTTTAGTTATTATGAACACCGAATACTGATTATAGTCTTTTAGTCGTAGTACAACACTCCTAATAATCTTCATATTTTCAACAGAGAGGGAGAGAAATACAAGAACGTGGTCATCTGCCCAAACCCTTGAAGGTAGTACACTATTCACCGTAACCAAGACTCTCCATTCTTCAAGTATCAAGAGGTATTGATAATAAGACACGTAGTATGTATTGAAGGACTATTAAAAGGTTTGAATGATCATCATTATAAATACCTGTAATTAAGTGTCGCAGGAATCACGGGAGACGATTGTTTGCAAACATACAAAAATGACGTATCATACTAACAGGCTGTTAGTTGGAATGTCTAAATTTGAGAAGATTGGTGCTAGAATTAATTGAGTACGTTAAAGAACAAGTCTGTTGTCCATTTCTTCCATATAGAGGGCGCTCTCAAACATACAGATTAACTAGTGAGGCAATTTTAAGCTTTACAAGAAAATAACCTAAGGGTCCAACTGGTAATGAGAGCCATGTCTATCAAAGGGTTCGTGTTTGGTATGGGAAATCGTCTGATGACTAGAAAGTACAATGCCCCACAGAACTAATAAATTGTGAAAAGCTTAATTACTAAAGATATTCCCCCACAGAATATAGCCCAGTTTAGGTGAGGTTTTCTAGGACAGCATATCAACTGAGTAATTTATTATTCAGAATGGAGATATTAAGTTAAAACAACAACAACGAAACACTTGATGGTTAAGTATTTTACTTCCCTGTGGAGTTTAAATACTTTTAATGAGATTTTGTTGGATTTCTCGCAAAGCTATACAAAATCTGTCAGCGCAAATCGACTAGAAGGAAGGCAGCTACTTAACACCACCAACTCTTGGGCTATTGTTGTCAGACTGAACAGTGAGCTTGACAGTTACTCTTATAACGCACCTAAGGCTCCAAAATACAGACCATGATTTTTATTATATTTTTTTGCGGTAATGAAACGCGAGCCAGGGAACTTCAGCTCTATAGTCAGACACATTAACCACCTGGCTGTTAATGGCCCACTCTTAACAAGATATTATATCCTTTTAAGAAAATTAAATAATAATCTAAAATAAGCAATATAAAATAAGGGACATGTGTTTTAGGTAGTCTATAGAGAAGGTTAAAAACACTTCAGTAAAAGATACAAGCAATGAAACTAGTTTAATGCAGTGCAGTGTTCCATCGTAAGAGATAATAATAAACTAGATTCTAAGTATAATAATGGCTGGAGACGGCTTAAATGGGTAATGAAGAAAAACTTTAATATAAGCTTAACATGACAGCAAATGTACAACGTTTCGACAAGGTTTTGTCATCATCAGGTACAAGTATGTCCTCCATCTGAAATCCGTAGATATTTAAAGGGACATTAAATAAATAATGAAACTAATTAAACATGAGATCAAAACTGCAAATCACAAACTAATTGATTTAATGGATGAAGAAACACTAAAGAAACATAAAGGGAATTTCTAGCTTCGGTTCAGTTATCATTATCTGGAGTACATAAGGCTGTTTTTGCAGCCATTCCAATTTCATCTGGGTCTATCGAGTCTATCCTATCTTCCCTCGGATCTTCTGCAGTAGAAAAAGTTTATTTTGATGGTAATTTGGCCCTTCTTCTTTTAACTTTCGGAAATCAAAGTAGCCTACTTCTCTGACTGCCACTTTTATGTAGTCTGTCTTTCATACTATCTTTCAAATTATGATAATTATTCATTGGAACTGGTCTTTTGTGACACCTTTTGTTACTCTGTTTGGCCCCTGTGATTTTTCAGTATAGTAGGATTCACAAAGTTGAATTAGCAATTCGTGGGATAAGCAAGAGGATATCATATTCTTGGATAGGTAGTTGGAATGAAGTTAAGCCTTCTGACCATATTAATAAAGACTACTGTAATAGGATTTTTTTTTTCCTCAGTGAAAAGAAGTAGCACTCGCGTATGAGTGGAAATGTGGAAATTTGGCTAGAACTAAAATAAAGAAACTTGAGACAAATTTATAAAATATTAAAATAGTAGTTTCCCTTTAAAATGGATAATAAGAGAAAAAAGTAACAAGTATACCAACGACTCACCAATATCTATTTTAGAGAGAAAAGCAGAAAATAAGAATTTAAATACAATTGAACGAAATTAAAAAAAAAACTTTCTAAAATTCAAACGTACACTTTTAAGTAGGAACAAAATGCTTGTTATTACCTTGTGTCAATCAAAAGTAATTGAACCTTTAAAAAGAGATATTTTTAAGGTTTCGTATAAAAACATCTTCTTGTATCGAAACTTGATACATTGGGATGAAGAAAAAAATGTAAGGATGTTTTTGGAACTTTCGCAATATCCTTAAAACATC